ACCTGATATGACCGCATTAATATGTATATTCTTGCAGAATAATTCTGTGAATAACATTTACCAAAAATTCTAAATGTTTCTTCTTCTTGCAAAATAGGTAAATTTCTCCTTCCAGTTTTTTCTATGACTTTAATATTAACGATGGATTTTTCTGGTAGTGATGCTCCAAACATTAACTCTGAAATTCTTGCAAGAGGAAAATCTAAAAAATATTTGTGGTATTACAAAATTGTCACAATAATATACAAGTCACAATAATATACATGTTCAGCGTAATGGTCCACACGATTTTTCAGACACTTCTGACAGTTAAAAAAGATTGAAGGATGAGTATTCATCTGTTTTATATAGGCTATAATATGCGATAAAAAATTTTTTTTAATTTTTTTTCACAAGAAAATCAAAGTCATCTTAAATTTTTTAAATAACATAGAATTTTTGTTCCATAATATTGTAAGAATTTTCAAGACAAATTCAAATCACTGTCGAAATGTCACTTTTATGATGTTTTATTGATTTTGTTGCATATTTTATTAAATAAGTAGATGTGTGTATATGTGTATATATATATATACGCGCGCGCGCGCGCGCGTGTGTGTGTGTGTATGCGTGTGTGTGTGTGTGTGTTGGGTTGTCCGGAAAGTTCGTGCCGACTAAAATTTAAATTTTAGTATACATTTATTAAATTAAAATTTTCTGCGTTTCAATTTTCCTTCAACATCGGCACGAACTTTCCGGACCCAATATGTATATGTGTGTTATCAGTGTCTAGTCAGAGTTGTACTGCTGTTACAAATAATATTACATATTTGATATTAAATATCAATAAAATCAATAAAATCAATAAAACATCAATAAAAGTAATATTTCGATTAATTTAAATAATATCGAAGTTAAGTTGTAATTAAAGTTGTAGCTTGTATAAAACAAATGAATATTCATCTTTTAACTGTTTTTTAACTGTTTTTTCGGAAGTATCTGAGAAATCATGCAGACTATTACTGAACATCCTAAATATCTTTTAAATAATTTTATAATAGTATACTCACAAATATTAAATGTCTTAAGTTGATAATCATTTTTTTTATAAATATTAGCTTGTACACATACTTCTTTCATTTTTAGATTTTTACATTTCCTATTTGTGATCCTATTAAATACATATTAATTATAGATACTTTGAATGTTAGGTTTATAAAAATCAAATTTAGATTGTTTTTTTATCTTACCGATTTATTGGGATAACATATTTGCACTTATCAATAGAAGAGTTTGTGTATAACATTTGTGGTTCCCTTAGTTTAATATTTCCAGATTCTAATAGTTTATAACGTTCTTGAAGATTTCCTATTTCCAGATTCTATACATTAATAGATAATGTTAGCATATATTTTTGTAATATCAAGCAAAAGAATGAAACTCACTTGTAATTCTAATCGTGTTTTTAACTGTTCTTTTTCTTTATAAATTTTGTTAATCTCTGATCTATGACGATTGGCTTGTTCTTCAATTAAACGCATCTTTTCTAATTTCTCATTTTCAATTCGTAACTGAGTTTGTTGTAATTGTTGCCGCAAAAATACAGTTTCACCATCTTTAGTTATAAAATCATTCAATAATTTTTTGTTTTCAGTTCTTAATTTTTCCAATTCTTTACCATCTAATCATAAATATATGTAAATGAAATCATGAAAATAAAAATATTTTTTATAATTATATTAGTATTTCTATAATGATATTACCATGTATAATAATTTCATTGCTCTTTTGAAAAGTTGAATTATGATGTTTCTTATTTATTAATTTATTTTTAAACTGAGAATAATTCATTTCTGTTATGTTCTGATGATTCTGACTTGTACTCTGTACATTCTTTGTTAACAAGTCTGAGTTAGACTTTTCTAGAGCTTGTGGTAATTTTGAATATGATGTTTCATTATAGGCAATTTTCTTTGGAAAATCTGATTTCACCGAATTCAAATCATGTAGTCTTAAATTATTTAACAACTTAGCCTCCTTGAAAGTAAAGATTCAGATTATAAATAAATTTCATGGCATATTTTAAAACTGAACTTACATCAATAGCATTACCTGTACACAAGCTTGAGATGCAATCAAATCCATTTCCTCAATATCTTCTTCGTCAAAATCATCACCCCAAAGATCATCATTCTGAACGTTTTTATTCGTAGGAATTTTTTCCTGTGTTCTATAATACTTCAAATTCTTATTAGGAATATCAAATTTTGCCCGTTTCGCAGGCATACGATAATCATCCATTATTGTCACCTCGGAATGTTTAAACTTAAATGTGTGATATTCGTGATACATGCTAGCTGTTAGGTGCATTTACATGTAAGCGTTAAATTTCACTTAAACAATAAAATAAAGACTTAATAGAAAAAAGGAATAACAAGCCGTTCAATCAGAGCTCTGGTAAGTTCGATATTACATCCTAGAATTCTGATTGGAAGAGACCGTTGTTTTTTACATTGTTTGTTACCTGCCTATTGTGTTTAAGTTTTTATAAGCTGGCGTTTTATCCCCCTCCCCCTCCATCGCTACGCAAAGCAGCGTTAAAAAACTATTTGCTATCCTTTTCATGAAGCGAATAAAGGATACATTCCGAGGTACGCATGAAACGCATGATGCATCATTTGTCGTTGTTGTTTACCAATTAATAAAGAAGGATAAAAAGGATACATCGTGCGCTTCATGCGTAACTCGAAACGTACTCAAAAGCTGGCGAAGTCTCTTACTTCCATTATGCCATGAATAAAGGAGCGTTGAACAAACAATTCAAAAAATGGACCAATCAAAAAATGTTTCGAAATTTTTGGCCAATCAAATGAGTCAAAGTCAGAGTCAGCGTTGCTTCGCTCATAGTTGAACAGTATCGAACTTTAAGCGTTTATTTGCTGGATTATGGCTATTATGGCGAAAATTAATGGAGATGATTGATGATGTCAGTACCAGCATCGCAACAATACGGTGGCAAGATTCTAATCCAGCTAGCAATCTAGCAGGAAAACAAGTATCGTATGCCGCAGGCTTTAAGCCAATTAGTAATCAATAAAATACGAAATCACAACGCGGTTACACGATACACGATAAATACACTTCATGGAACTCTAGCCTCAGTTCTGGGTTACACTAGTTCAGTTTAGTTCAGTTCTAGTACAATTCTCGTGCAGAAAACAAACCTTTTTCTCTTTTTTTATGCTAGAACCAAATTGTAATTTCGCGCATATCAGAGGATCGATTCTGTATCTTGAAATGAGATAAAAATTATGAAAGTGAGTGAGTGAATTTACTAGAATACTGATTATTTCATTGGTTAACACTTAGTAAATTTGCTCGCTTTTGTAATTTTCACCTTGTTTAAAGATACAGAATCGATTCTCAGGGCCTTTATTTTTGAAAAGAAATCTATACGAAAAGCTAGGAAAATATTATAATATCAGAGTATACGTGACTCTAATATTTCCCTTATAGTTTTCGTATACGTTTCTTTTCAAGAATAGAGGTCTTGCGCCCTTGTGATGTGTCGCACACATCCGATTACATGCGCGGCGCCAGTAGTGTTTTTTCATGATTGTTAAGCAGGGAGCACAGATTCTTGCATAATGCATAACACAGAAAATCAACCAATCAAAGTCCTTTACACGGAAAGAAAGGAAATAAAGCATTTTTATTTTCTTATGCCTCATGTTTTATGCGTTATGTAAAAGTTTGTGCTCCCCGCTTTAAGATATATTCACACAAACTTAGTTAGTTGCATAACGTAATGCAAGAATACGTACCAATCAAAATTCTTCGTTTCCTTCCTTTCATGAAATAAAGAACTCTAGTTGGTTCAATTTCTTATGCCTCATGTATTATGCGTCATGCAAGACTATGTGCTCTTCGTGCGTTTTATGCATAAAAAAAATTATCCAATTGCATTTCTCTTACAAAGTTGCACGTAAAATGTGATTGGATAATTTTCTTTATGCATACGTTTCTTTATGCGGCTGTGTAAGTTGTATGGATATACCTTTAGGCTCTGCGCACAATGGAAAAAATATTAGAAACAGAAATAAATATTAAGGATGTATCCACAACAAAAGTTATTTAATCACATTTTACATGTGTCTTTATAAGAGAAATGCGATCGGATAATTTTCTTTATGTATATGTTTATGCGGCTATGCAAGTTGTATGGATATACCTTTAGACTCTGCGCACAATGGAAAAAATATTAGAAACAGAAATAAATATTAAGGGTACATCCACACAACTTACATAGCTGCATAAACGTATGCATAAAGAAAATTATCCAATCACATTTTACGTGCAACTTTGTAAGAGAAATGCAATTGAATAATTTTTTTTATGCATAAAACGGAGAACACATAGTCTTGCATGACGCATAATACATGAGGAATAAGAAATTGAACCAACTAGAGTTCTTTATTTCATGAAAGAAAGGAAACGAAGAATTTTGATTGGTACATATTCTTATGCATTACATGTTATGCGTTATACAAGAATCTGTTGCTTCCCGCTTAATAGGCTTTTTACAACAAGCCATAAATAATAAATCAGAAATCAGAAACTGACCAATCATAGTCGAATAGTGAGAAAAATAATTGACTATGATTGGTCAATTTTTAGCTTCTGACTTCTGGTTTATTATTTATTATTATTCTGGTTATACTAATAGCTTATTGTAGAAAGTTTCTAAGATTTCAGCTTATCAGATATCTATTACATCGGAAAACGGTTTCTGATATGTTGAAATCTTAATATTTATTTCTATTCCTAATTTCCTCCATTGTGCGCAAAGCCTTTATATTCGAAAAATTTCGGATAAATTTCCGCTAGCGAATTTGGCTGTCACCATTTTTGCTGATAAATACGCAAAAATTATTCATTTTATGCGTGTGTGCAGTTTATGCGACGGACACGAGATAATGAACGATAAATGTGTCTAGTACAGGAAGCGGTGACGACTTGAGCCGTCACTTGAGTAACCTAGTGCCGTCAGTCGCCACACATCGGTACAGGTCGATGTCGATAGTATTGTCGTCTGTCCATGGCCGCGCTTGCGATGCGTCTACTGTGGTGTGTTTCTGTACATGGCCGTGCCGCTTGGCGGATCTTTACGTTGTTCCGTGGCATTCGGCAATCTGCCACTAGTAAACGTGCGTTTTTGTAACGAATTTTGCTTACTGTTAATGGGAAACATGCGTTTCTCTCACTGAAATGTGTGGAAAGCTGATTTTCGTGACGCGAGAGATACTCGGTCGATGGGAAATGCACGACTATTTATCTTTCACGCTGTTAACTTGCATGGGTTCTTATCATACAGACATTTGATATTTGACGCATCGCGATGCGAATTGATATTTTCTCGGAACGATTTCTCGTCGCGATCATCACTCTATGTATTGTTTTTCCAAAGAAATTGAATGCGATTATACAGAGAGGCATCGAGTACAATCATCGATATTCAAGGACATGAAAATATCTAATTCTATGGAACACAATACGTCTCACGTTTTCTACAACTTTATAAGAATTTTTTTCATCACACACATGCAAATTAGTGATACTTTCTCTGTTTCCATAATGATTATTCTTATCAGTTAATTTTATACAAAAAATTATTTTTTGTTCAGTATATTTATGAGCAATAACAATTTTTTTTCCAAAATAAAATTTTATGAATAATGAGTATAATTTGTTCTGTTAAAATAATACATATATCTATGAATATTATTCTTAATAGGATATAATTTTTAGGATTGTATTTACTGTTTTTAAAAAACTTGTATTACGCTTCACATCCACCATGACTACATCCTCGGAAGATGTCCTGATGCAAGTGAATCAAGTGCGTTATAAAAAAGGAGATGGTACTTTATATGTAATGAACGAACGAATAGCATGGATGCTTGATAACAGAGATACTGTTTCTGTCAGCCATAAATATGCTGATATTAAATGTAAGACTTTAAGAAATTGTGTTTAAATATAACAGATTGATGTAATTAATTCAATAATATGTTAGCTTACATATATATATATATACACACACACACACACACACACATATGTTTATTCATATATGTTATTGTAAAATATATGTAAATATATAAATTATACACCGATCAATAAACAAATAAAATTATTGAGTCCTTTGTAGTACAAAAAATATCACCAGAGGGAAAATCAAAAATACAACTACAGGTGGTGTTACATGATGGCACATCATCTACATTTCATTTTGTAAATAAAAATGGACAAGAAGCACAAATTAAAGATCGCGACGATGTAAAAGAATTATTGCAACAATTACTACCAAAATTTAAGCGGAAAGTTAACAAGGAGCTAGAAGAAAAAAATAGGTAAGATTAATTTAAGTTAATATTTGAAGAGTATTTCACGAATAATTGATGAGACAATTTTTTTTTTACAAATACATTCCTTTTTTTAGAACTCTTCAAGAACATCCTATGTTGCTTCAATTATATCGTGATCTAGTAATCACACAAGTTATATCATCGGAAGAATTTTGGTCACAACATGCTGCAGAATATACACAAGCTAAAAAGATACAACGTCAAGAGATAGGTGTTAATAGTGCTTTCCTGGTAATGTTTTCTTTTATAAAGATGTCAGATTTTTGCTCAACACATAAATTATAAATAATGGATTAATCAAATTTTTTAGGCAGATATCAAGCCACAAACTGATGGTTGCAATGGATTAAAATACAATTTAACTGTCGATGTGATAGAATGTATATTTAAGACTTATCCAGCTGTTAAAAGAAAACATCAAGAAAATGTGCCTCATAAAATGTCAGAGTCGGATTTCTGGACAAAATTCTTTCAATCACATTATTTTCACAGAGACCGTATCAATACTGGGACCAAGGATCTTTTTACCGAATGTGCCAAAATAGATGATCAAGAACTTAAGAAAGATCTTCAAACTGGGATAAATGATCCTTTGGTAGATATTACTTCCTTCGAAGATCAAACACTAGATGAAAATTATGGAAATGGTTGTAGTAAAGCAGATAAAACATCTGGAAATATAGTACATCAAAATATGATCAAGAGATTTAATCAACATAGCATAATGGTTATGAAAGCTAGCACTGCCAAACAGTTGATACAAACTAATCAACCACAATTAAATGGATCTACACCATCTGCAAGTAAAATAGCAAACAACGAACCAGATGATGAACCAAAGACTAAAAAAGTACAACTTTCCATTCCATTTGATGCATTTATAATTTATGTTTGGTAAGATTGAGGATGATTTATTTAATCTTTTTAAATACATTTTTACAGCGTAGAATACAAGAGAAGATAACTTATGATGATCTTGATAAGAGCTGTGACATAAATACAAATAATGGAGCACCGTTAAATCTGATGCATGTAGATAGATATTTGCATGGACCTATACCAGACTATGGAAGTACAGAACCAACTTCGGAAGAATTGTTCATTACATTAAATCACTTAAAAAAAGAAGCTTCTGGATGGTTATCTGGTAGTACATTACCGCGACAAACAGCTACTTCTTTAGTTAGTCCAGCTGCGGCAGTATCAGCTTTAGGTGAATTAACACCTGGTGGATCTTTAATGAAAGGTTTCCGAGAAGAAAGTCTTGGACGTAAGAATATATTCTTCATATTACAAATGACATAGTATATATAATTCACTTGTCTTAGCGTCGAGACAGTATCGTGTCTCCAGATATTCAGTAAATTATTATTAGTGACTTTACATTCTTTAGTGATTTTAATGTGAAATAATTTACATATATATATGTAGATATAAATACATAAATATAGATAAATAATTATGTAAATATACATATTACAGAGTTAATACCGAAAGATTTAGAGAAGGAATTACGTAACGTGTATGTGTGTATATGTGAGTTGTTGAAACATTTTTGGCGAAGTTTTCCTCCGACAACACCACAGCTTGAAGAAAAAGCAATCAGAATGCACGAAGCTTTACATAGATTTCATTCCGCTAAATTAAAACCCTTTGAAGTAAGTAAATGTTTATTTCACATATACAAATAAGCAGCATTTATTCATTTATACAAAATTCATTATTTTATAATATACGAATTCCATTTCTCCCAGGATCGTGTGCAAAGAGAATTCTCTGCGGTTAGTCAGCACTTAACGAATCATCTTAATCAATTGTTAACTACCGCATATAGGAAATTTGCGGTATGGCAACAGCGAAAAATGCAAATGAGGTAGCCCTTCATTAAGATCCCCGTAAAACAGTAACGTTTAAATAAAGCAGCAATATTGGTCACATATTGCATTTCTTAATGTTACCGTAATTAGATATTAACATCGATGTATTTTACAAGAAAAAAACCAAAGCTATGCCAGATATATGCATCCAGACTACCACATACTATTTATTTATTTTTTTTAACGCGATTACAACTTTTTTAAATTTCGTTTTTTAAACTCCAAATCCAATCAAATCCAATCACGATAATACGTTAATTTGCTTATAAGAAATACAATTTTCAGCTTATTTATTTATAACAAATACATTTTAAAATGCACAGACATTCTAAAAATATCTTACATTCTGGAAAATATGTGTTTATAAATTTATGTAAGAAAATTATGTAGTTGTAGTTATCTATCATCTATAATATGCGACTGTTTTAGTTCAACTTGTAAGAGAGATGGATGATTACAAATATTGTATGATATCAAAGTAACTATGATATTGCCACTGTATAATCAAGTTTGTTAAAAGTTAGTTAATTTGTTTTGATAATGCCTTCGTGATTTTAATTTTATGATTATATTTTATTGATTCATACACATACTTTGTTACTTTATTTATTACTTTATTATTTGATTTTTACTTATTTTCATAATATACGAAGATTGAAATCGACGAAAAACGATCTTTTTTTGCAGTTACAATTGAGTTAATACATTTAAATCTCTAGATATCTCAACGAAGTTGTAATTTCCTATCATTTATTCTACCACAGTGGCATTGGTATACTTTATGATATCTGCGATATACTCAACTAAATGTCTTAATTGTTGAATCCTATTTTTCTCTCGTGCTACTAGATATGGTGATCTGAATTTTCGTAAACTATTGATCTTTACCATAGCGATAAATTTGGCAGTTTTAAGAATATAATCTATATTTCTCAATTGATTGACGCTATTATAATTATTATTTAAGGACCAGTGACGAGAAAACTCATTTACACTTTATTTGCGGTGCAGATACGTGCATTCCACCATATATTTGGCCTTGTAGAAAAAATATTTTGTCATGAAACTTGTTTTTTACTTATATTTTACGAAACTAAAGCTTCCTAAAGAGCCGAATTGAAATTTTATTTTTAAAGATAGTATAATAAATAAAATTATCTGTTTGTTACTCACCTACCTGATATAATTGCGAGGTACCATATTTTGTCTCATAGAAACTATTTCGTCAATGATTTTTTTTATGAAGCTGCAAAGGTGCATACAGAATTTATACCGATTTTGCAATTAAGTAGTTTAAACATAATAAATAAAATTTGAACCTCAACTGCATTACAATGCAAATCGAATGAAATATTGAATTTTTATTGTATCCTTTTTTCTGAAAAAAAAAAAAGGAAATGCTCTGTACGCGTCTTCAGCTGATTTTCCTAATTGTGAATATCATAATTATATTGTGATTTTCTCAATATTATATATAGCTATAATTTAGGATGAAAGAAATTTGTTTTCGACAGAGATCTCCACCGTGATTCCTGCCGCCCTAAGAGCCAGTTGTTCCATCTTCGAATAAACTACATATAACTTACCTATTGGATAAACAAAAGAGTAAGAGCATAAGAGAGTAAGACAGTAAGATAGTGAATTGAAATTAACGAAAGGTGGAACAACTCAGTCTAAGTAGTAAAATATATTCTTACATTATGATTATAATAAATATTGTGATGACGAATTTTCAATATCACATGGATTTTCTCTTTTACCTTACTCTTTCATTTTTAATACATATATCTCTCCCGTACTTTAAAAGTGATATTTAAAAAATGTGATTTTCAAGTTATTACTATAATATATACACAGTAGCGCAACTTCAGATTTCAGCGGGCGTAAAATTGAACTGCACATACGCAAACTAAGGAGGTAAACTAAGGAGTAATTATATAACTGACTTTCTGTTGCACTTCTTTCTATTTCTCTATAATCATAAATGCTCAATAGACATCTTATGATAGAAGTATGGAAGAAAAAATACGAACAGCGTTATGCGCACACACACACACACACACAAAATTAAGGTGCAAATTCACGCAGCGAGTAATTGCTTTTTGCTAAAATTTTTCGGCTTTTAGCGAATGTTTGTGAATATTCGACACAAGTTACAAATCTGGAGACACTAGTAGTGTCTCGACGCTAATTTACATAAATATGCAAAGATCGTCTATATGCAAAATAGAAATAATAAAGAAGAAAATTAAAAAAGAAAAATTATATATATTCAATTTAATTAGGACATCGAATATGTTCACATTGTATAAAATTACGAATTATATCTTATATTGGGTCCAGAAAGTTCGTGCCGATGTTGAAGGAAAATTGAAACACAGAGATTTAAATTTTATATATTTATTAAATTATATAGGTTAGTCGGCACGAACTTTTCGGACAACCCAATAAATAATATTAAACCTATAAGATACAAACAATGGTCAACTGAAATATAGCTGCAACTGCAGCTGCTTTCCTTTTTCGTGCATTTATTTAGTAAAAATATACTGACATACAATTTAATAACCATTACATTTGTTAGTTATACCAAGTAATTTAATTTATAACTGTTCTCCATTTAAAATAATTTTAAAAAATTTTATTTCCAATTTATTCAGTATTTATTAAATATGTATATAACATTTAAGAGCACTTTTAAGCCCTAAACACAATGGCAATAGTGATAGCGATAGGAACAGAGGAATCCAACATACGGGAATGCAGCCCATATGCCAATGCATATAGGACTTATGTGCATTGACATATGGGCTGCGGTCAATTTCCAGGTCATTATAATGGCCATTTTCAACGCTTTTCAATACTTCTAGTCTTATTTGACGTGTGTAATGAACAATAAAGACAGAATAATGATTACGCTTAATGCACGTGAACATCCAAATCGAATGTCCAAATAACTATACATTTCCTCTGTTCCTATCGCTATTTCCAGCAAACGAGAATGGATTGAAATGAATTGAAATGGATTAAGATTTTTAGAAATATTAATTCACGAATGTTAAAATGAATGCTTTTCAATCCTGAATGCATTTATAGGCATATCTCTATGTAGCATATCTCTATGTCTTTCAATCTAAAAATATTAGCTTTTTCTGTGTATTATGAATACTATTAAATTCAAAATTTTATAATAGGACATGCAGTTTTTCAATCCAATTGCATCCAATTGAATTTAATTGAATCCAATTGAATCCAATTAAATCTAAAAAAAAGTATTCGCTATTTAAAATATGCATTCGAAAAAAATGTCAATCCATTTTAATCCATTCTCGTTTGCTGGTCGCTATTGCTATAACTATTTCTATCGTTGTTGCCTTCATTGTGTTTAGGGCTTAAGCGAGGAGCACAGACTCTTACATAACGCATAAATACATAATGCATAAAAAATGTACCAATCAAAATCCTTCGTTTCCTTCCTTTTCATAAAGAACTATAATTGGTTGGATTTTTTATGTTTTATATGTTATGCGTTATGCAGATTAAGAATCTGTGCTCCCTGCTTAAAGATATATTCACTCAAAGTTTCATAGCAACATAAACGTATGGATAAAGAAAATTATCCAATCGCATTTCTCCTATGAAGACGTAAAATGTGATTGGATAATTGTAAAGAGGCCATTCCACACAACTTGAATAGCCGCATAAATGTGCATAAAAAAAATCATCATCAGTCTTTATTTCATGGAAATAAAGGACTTCGATTGATACGTTTTCTTATGCACGTGTTATGGGTTATGCAAGAATGTGTTTCACGTTTTACACGATACATTTATGTCTTCGACACACCAGCACGATATTCGTCGCATACGACTCGCGACATTCAATGAGAATATATCATGGCTTCTGCACACTGGACGCGATAACACTTGTCGCGCGGCAAAATGAGATGTGGTAAACAATGAACTTACTCTGTATTCATTAATCGGGTTTAACCGTAGTTATGAAATTAGCCAATCATAGCTGTTTTTCGGAAGAATGAAATGACTGTGATTGGCTAGTTTCATAATTATGGATGTTATTAAATCCGATTAAGGGTATCGTGTAAATGTAGTCATTGGCCATAGTTTCCAAACCGAGGATTCAAACCTATTACATAACATTTTCCCGAAAAACTAGACTAGAAAATGTTATGATACTAAAAATGATACTAATAAAAATCTCTAAGCAACACAATTTTATTTTTTTAATTTTAAACGAATTAGTAACAGCGTTGAAGTAATAAGTCCATAAGAATTTAAGCACGACATTGTCGTACACTTATTTAGACTTAAATTGTAGACGTAAGTAACGCACAAGCTTTCAAGTATGACGTACAACTTATTGCCGTGTCTCTAAGAGACATACGTCATACGCCAAAGCTTGTGCATTACTTACGTCTACAATTTAAATCTCTAAGTAAGTGTTATTCTTGTACTCAGGTCCTAAATTCTATAAGTCCACAAACTTACTACTTAAACAGTGATACTAATCCATATAAATTAAAATTGTATTGCCTATGGATTTTTGTAAATACTAATTTTTCAGTCTAGTTTTTCGGAAAAGTGTCATGTAACCTTCAAATCAGAATGCAAGAATTACAATCGATTATTTCTTTGTTACAGTCGAACAATAGGGGAATGTTCGACTGTAATTGGTTAGTTCTTGCATTCTGATCTGGTTCAAACCTTCGGTGGAAACTAGACCATTGTTATGCAACCACACACATGCAACGTTCATTAAAACTGTGTTCTAAAATTTACTGTCAGTACTGAAAATCTATAGTGCACATAATGGAAATTGTAGCATTTTCAGTACTAGTAGTAGAATAGAAATCATTTACACTTCAGCATATACAAGCCAAGAAGGGGACTTGGTTTACAGAAATATTTAACTCATTCACACTTACACTCCTCTCCCGTCTTTATCTTACAGCTACAAACCTGAACTATTACTATTTCTCTACAACTATTACTATTTCTCTTTTACCTATACATAATCTCTATATCACAGCCCTATCACAGTCTATTAATGTCCATATCCCATTTCTTATTTCCCTTTATTTCTACATAGCATTTCTTTATCCGTACTTATCTCCCCTTGTATTCTTTAACTATATGTTCCATCTACATTTTATTCTTTTTATTTTCTATTGGTTTCATTACAATGCATTTCCTTAACTTATAAATAGATAATAAGTACTTCCAATTGACTATAACTAACTATAATATACTACATTACAATCTTATACTCTCACAGCTTTGTTGTCTTACAAAATATTATAATTATAATATTCATTCCTTGTCTTTACATTATTATGTTTATCTTTACAATAGTCTCTATTTATATCTTTTCTTTTCTCTCTCCTTTCTTTTCTTTTCTTTTTATTATTTCCTTTTCTCTATTCTTTCATAGTTTTATTAGCGTTTTTCCTTTAAGTTTACTCAAATCTTCTCCTCATAAATTTCTTACAATCTCGTCCTTATCCTTTCCTAACTCTTCAAAATTACCTCTTGTCTCCTCGCATTCTTTAACCTAATGCTCAAGGTTATTCTCGCTTTCACCACAGAAAAGACATTTTCCCTCCATTATTCCTGGCCAGTATTTATTCTTCTCTTCTAAATTACCATATCTTAATTTAAATAACACTTATCTTATCTCTTCTCTTCCATTTCATTTTTTCCACCCTCAAATTTGATATCCTATTCTCCATACTTATCTCTTTATATCTTTATATCTTTTATTACACCTTGACCTATTCTTTCCCTTTTCTATTGCTTCTGCAAATCCTCTCTTTTCCTGTTTATTAAATCTTCAAAACTTTCACTCTCTAATCAAATTACCTGTGTTTCCAGATTTAATCTTTTCCTCGTATTTTCTTGCCCTTAAACCCCATCCTACTTTGAGCTTACCCATTACCAGCTCCCTCATAATTACATATCATGGAATGCAGAAATCTAATCTAATTGAAAATCCACCTGATGTAGTCTAATATTATCTTTTCTAGTTCGCCTTTTTCTTCCCAGCCCCATAATTCCACTCTATATGCCATTACACTTTGTACCAGATATTTAAATAGCATTTTTAATAGCAGATATTTAATTATCAATCCATCTTCTACTAAAGTCATTTCTGTATAGCTTTTCCCCTAATCCTCATACCTTTCTTACTACCATTTTTCCTTTTCTATTTATTTTTTTAATATGCCTTTTATAAGGCATATTTCCCTTTCCTATCTAAATTAAAATCCAAATATTTAAATTCCAATATTTAAATATTTAAATTCCATCTCATTTAGTTCCTTATTTCCCCATTTCCATTTCTCTTTTCTTTTTCTCCCTCTTCCTCTAGACCTCATTATTTTCGACTTTTCTGTGCACAGCTCCAATTTCTTCCCCTCCAAAAATTTTGTTTGTGCTCATCATATCCTGTAATAACTCCCTATTATAAGCTATAAAAATTAAATTATTCACATATGCTAACGATCATCATGTCCTATCTCTACCTAATCTAACTCTTCCTATTCTTCTTTTCTCTAATTCATTATCTATGTCCGCAATATATAAATTGAACAACAATGGACTCATCATACCCTCCCTTATTCCTTTTATTGTTCTGAATTGTTGCATGTATCCTTGTCTCATCCTTATCTTCATCTTTGTTTCCTCCTTATCCTCACCTCTGTTTCCTCCTACATTTTTTCTATC